GATAGAATTTCAATTTAATTAAGTATTAATGTGTGTAAATTTCTAAGCCCACTGTTAGTTAAAAAAATAAAACTAAAAATGGTACGCCTGCAGTTAAGAAATTGCAAAATAACATTTTGTTACTTTGAATTATTAGCAGGCGCTTTTAACTTTTTCCATTGAACGAACACAGACAACTATGCATTTTATATGAGCGGCGTAAAAGGAGCATCATTATAGTTTCTTATTAAACGTAACAAAGCAAACGTTGCATAAGTCAAAAGAACTTCGAGCAAAAAGTGAAAAGTGGAAAAACTCTCTGAACATTTCCTAATATTGTTTATAACAAGTATCAAGAAAGGAAATAATAATTTGTTCTTCCTTTGAAAATATTAATAAATAGACGAAGACATTTCTGAATTCGGAATAGTTTTAAATCTATAGATTAAATCAAAAACCGAACAAATGTCAATTTATTTTTAAGCTTTGATTTATTTTTTTATAATTTAAGATTCATGATGATTTAGCTATCCATGAACTCAAATATTAATTACTTTTAACGTTAAACATCCGTTTCTAAAAGCCCATATCAGAGTTGTACACTAGAGTCGCTAGAGGGCGTACAACCGCTTACAAGATGTCTCACAACTTAGCCCCTGCGAGATATTGATCTGCAAAGTTTAGGTCTTACAGTTCTTCGAATGAGAGCGACTGAGCTTAATAACTTAAGTGTTTAACATCTACTTTCATAATAAAATGAATATCTAGGTATTGATTTATGTTCAAATGAATGTTATTTGTACATATAACGTTATTTTCTCATAGAATATACAAATACAAATACAATTAAATGCAAATATTTTATTGGTAACCGAATTACAAGTCATGATTTTAAAAAATAAAAATCTTTACAGATATTAAAAATGAATGAATAATAATTGTGTACATAAAACAATCATGGAAGCAATATATTCAAGTTCAATTATTTCTTTATAGTTAATCAATTACTTTAATAAATATCAAAAGTTATTCTCGCAGTAAACGAATAAAACATGATTAATATACCCGTTTAAAACTACATTGTTATCAATATGGTATTTACACGCCGTTTTTTTTTCACACTTAAAAAATATAATCGGTAAAACATTTGTTACAGTAATTGTGAAAATAATTGTGAACACAATTCGCGTATAAAGTAACATACAAATATAAAATAAAGAAATGAAATAACCTAATCTAATTGATATAAAGGACACATCTTAAAAGAATGAACACGCTTATAGTTGAACTAGCTTTTGCCCGCGACTTCGTCCTTCTTGAATTAAAAAAAAAAAGTAAGTAGCCTACGTTATTCCGGACTATCCTCGACATTTGTAGCAAATTTCATCGTGTTTTGGGTACAAACTCTAACAAACATCCATCCATCCATCTAAACTTTCGCATTTATAATGTTAGTAAAGGTTTGATGTCTACAGGTGCCTAAACGCATATGTACATCTTTTAATTATTGGTTTAACTTATACAACACTACTGTGGTAACATATTTAATAAAATATTAACAACTGTTTGAGAACCAGTACCCCAATCTCAGCGCTAGTCGCCAACACGTCTCGCAGACCTACAGTCTATTTACAACCACACTACAAAGTTTTATTTTTGGTTCGTCAATCACAGAACCGTCGTTAGGTTGAACAGTCGGACAACGCAAAAACAACAAGTGACGAAGGACAGACAAGATCTGAGGGTATAGCACGAACATTTGTGAAAAAGTATTCGTATCGACATTGAAAAAATTCATACGACGTTTGCGGAGCGCACCTTTTAAGCGTAAAATCCACTAAACAGGAACATATAATTTTTTCCGATAATATTACGAATACTTCTTCGCAAATTTTCGTGCTAGGTCCTAAGAGTCCGGGCGTATTTCGTCATCGGGTTGTTGCACTTTGCAGGAATTTAAGATTAATTATATAACTCTCGGTGCTGAAATAACCTTTTATTGTTTGTTATTATTAAAAATTTCAAAACTGCTTGTTTTCACTAAAAATCGCTTGTAAAATGTCCTTTCAGGTCATAAGGTCCGTCCATCCTAAAACTTAAAAAAAAAACAATTTTTTTATATAAGAGCAGTGCAGTAAATCTTCGGCTTGAAATAGAGGGCAGTAACTGGCGCAACTATTAGACCAACGTCTAACTACACGTCCCTTTCTCTGTCGATTTAAGGTAGGCAACCCAAATGCAAATATCTATGGGCACTTGTCAGTTCGCTATTTTGGCGAATTCAAGTAGTTCACTCGTTGATCACCTTTTACTATAAAAAACCGACTTAAAATATTTTAGGAGCGTTTCAGAACTTAAAGAATTTCTAGGATTTTGTTATCTTAATGTTAATTGTTGCCTTTGAAAATAATTGAGAAATCACTACAATTTTCAACCACATCACGCAATTTCTACGAAGGATTAATTTCGATATAAGCCTATTGCCCAAGAGAAAAGGGTAATTAAAACTCGACTCCAAACGTGTCCCGGCCACGTGAGGTTCGACTTATTTTTTCCTAATGAAGTTACTAACGAATCTTATATTTACCAGATTTTCGATTAAAAATGTTCTTAAAGATATTGCTTTAGGATTTCTAACAGAACTATTTTACCTATCTACTACCAAAACATTGGTACAAAATTAATGTTCTCTCTCATTTTTGTACTAAAGCTGAGAAATCGAACACTTGACCGATATTACCGAGATGTCCATGGGCGTCGTTGACCACCTTTGTGTTCCCGCCGCTCGTTTGCCCCCTTCTCATATATTAAACTTATTGCAAACACCTAAAATATAGCTAGACACTGTTTAGTTAAACGCATTTTTACTCTATGACCCTAATATATCTTTGGATGAACAAAGGTGACTTACAGATAGGGAATTCTAAAAAATAAACAACTCTTATAAAAACTGTACTTATTTAACTCTTCGACAGTAGGAAAATCTCAAGTGTGACGATGCTATTATTGACAAAGAGCATAAAAATATGCTAAAACGTCAAATTATATTCAATACACTGTGTACTTCTATTAAATAGGTTAGCTACCTCTAGATTAAGTACTCTATAGGCGTATAAGGAATTTTAATAGAATAAATAAAAAATGTATTATTGAATCTTACGTCTTTTGTTATTTTTCTTTTTATTGAAAATGTCCTTTGTAATAAACAAGTTAGTTACGCTCCTAAAAAACATGAAATCGAAAAAGGCCGTATAACTTTCGTTACCGCTGGATGACTGGTTGGAATTTTGACTTCGTAAATGGACTTTTCCGAAACACCGGCCGCATGGAATCATGATTGAACTTTAAAAGGTAAAAACGAAATTCCGATTCCATTCTATGCTGGCTGTATTTTTTCATTAGCTTTTATAACAGAGCAATAGACGTGTTTGAAGACAAAACCACATGGATTGATTTTGTTTCAAAGTAGAAATAACTTTAAAAACTACAAAATGAGTATAACCCACAGAAACAAAAGCATTTACATTTCAGCCATATTATTTTAAATAGTGGGCAATTAAAAATGCTGTCATTTCATTTTTATTTAGTTACAAATAACAATTTAAGCGCCTTTAGTGGCAAATATAGCAATTTTTACATATTAATACAGTAATCTTACCCGAGTACTGACTTTGGTAACAGATAATAACCTAATACAGTAAAACCTCGATAAGTTAAAGTTCAAGGGAAACACAAAACATTTTAAGTTATAGAGGTTTAAGTTATCATATTATTTTTTAAGTTATTGAGGTTTTTAAGTTACCGAGGTTTGAGTTATCGAGTTTCTACTGTAATAATTTTATGTATAGAAATGATTAAATTCATAAGACATTTATTGTAACCATAAGATACGTATGTTAATCCTAAAGGTATAAAGACAGACTTTAAAGCAACCCTCTGATACCGGATTTCCTAATTAGTAAGGCATCCGGCAGTCTCCGACGCTCTACTCGAGTTATATGACAGAGCCTTGAACATAAACCATCTGGAAATAGAGCAATTTATTAAGTCGACGTGACGTATTTTACTTCGTGCGCTGGAACTAAAACTTCAAGTTAACGAATCTACATTTAGACTATACGCAAATTGGTGTACGAGGAATACCTCGAAATTCAATAGAATTGTGTTAGGTTTTGAGTAGAAGTTAATAGAATTAGATGCTCAACGGAGTTTAAACAATCACAGCTCCACATAGATGTATAGAACCACAATCTCATACTGATCTAAGGAGGTGAAGAATACATGAAAGGTAATAATTGTAAATCGCTAGAAACACCTTTCGTTAGTACAGATTTTAGATCTAGATTTATCTGATTTTCTGATAGATTTCTGACTTTGATGGAATTTTTTTTTTCATTTGTCCTTCTTTCTGTATACGCCAACCCATTGTTGTATTGCAGTTTTTATGCACATCGGACAGTTAACATTAACTGCCTGCCTTGCTTTTTACTTTCATATTCTTATTTAACCCTATTTTCGGTAAGAAAATGGAGTTTTCACATGCAAACCTCAATATGTTGCTAAAATTTTTACAAACTCAATTTCATTGACTACTTAAACTTAAAAGCTTAGGCGAGAACTCTGCTTTATGTAATTTTACTTTAAAGATATGTAAAGAAGAAAATAATATCTCGTTTAAGCACTTCATACTAAAACCTTGTTGAGTATGTAAACACTTAATAAAATGTGTATAAATATAAACAGAGTAAAATTGTTTACTTTATTTTGTAATGAAACTAGTATGTCTAAAACATTATTCTTTTTTAGGATATAATCATGCTAAGCTTGGTACTATGGCGCCACAACAACATCATCAAATTTACTTCTGGAACATTGATCAGAAAATAGGACCATGAGGCATGTGTACGCTGAGTCGATATACGCCGATGATTTGAAATAAACCCGCGAAATTATGCAAAACGTTATCGTTATCATTATCAATGAAGATGCGCACACGCAGCCAATTTGAGTAACGATCGGAGCACTGAAGGCTGCAGTCGCGCGCCGGCCGGCACACAATACGGACGTGCCGTAACCTAGTCAAATAACACCGCGTGGCCGTACCGCGTGTTTCAAATTATCGCTATGGTGAGTGACGTGTTTTATAATTAGTGATAATAATGCAGATTTATAAACACAATAAAATACATGGTTTTGTTTAATTCGTTAAAAATTCAAGGCATTTTTGTCGGCGAGTATAACGTGTGCATAAACCGCGTGTCTAATTGCAATTTCTTTTGCTACGAAGACAATGCTCTCGATTGTAGAGCTATTTGTTAAATTATGTTACAGTACAATTCTCGATATTAAACACATGAAGTGACATGATTTTTTACAGTAAAGTAACAGTACTCATATTGTAAGAATCAGAGACTATTTTGTTTTTTTTTTAATTGACACAGACTATCAAGTGCCTTATCTATGTAATTATGTTCTTAAGGTAAAACAAATTACTAGCTAAATACACAATGCTTATTGACATTGAATAATTGCAAACTAAACTAACACACCTTGTATCTTTCAGTTTCACTGTGACTATTTTGTCTTTTTAGTTTGTGGTTGACTATCTCGGTTAATGACCATCTTCCTTCTAACTTTTGCCAAATATATTTGGTTCAGCTTGGCATATATTCCAGTAATTTGGCAAAAATAGATTCATTTTAAAAATTGTAACAAACGCTGATTGTAAAGTGGTGTTACAATTTTCAAGTATGACTTTAACATTTTTGAATTTCAATACATTACAGATTTTCAGAGATTCGTCATTAGAAAAAATCATTTTTCCTATCTCATGTTGTAAGAAGTAGGTAGGCTACTTAATTGTATACTTGTATTACCAATTAATTAGAAATAGAGAGTGTGATACAAGATTGTAAAAAAAATGAGACGTCTGATAGACAATTTATTAGATAAAAGAAAAGATCTAGTAAATATGTAGACACTGATTTTTTTTCCAATTTACCTTATTATCCAAAATTAAATCGCACATTTAAAAGGAAAATAGCTGTTGAAATAAAAAAATCATGTTTACAACTTAGGTAAACTTAATCATACACATTCTTCCAAAAACAACAATTCGACTCGTCGGTCATATTGTCGTATTTTTCCTATATTTAAGACATCAAAAATAATGCCCTGTATATATCTTTATGAGTCATGTTTCATTTCGGTTTTGCGATCCATCGTCGTCTGATCGTTACTCCCATTTCTTAAAAAATCTTATTTTATTTGCTAAATTGTCAAGGAAATTATCTACAAACCAAGTAAAGATAGTAGTGAGAACTCAAGTGAGAGTTAACTTAGTAAGAACTGGTCTTTTCCGTGTTGCATTCAAGTGACCAACTTACCTGGATTTCAGATCAATAAATTCTTGTTTGAATTTTGACCTAATGATTATTCATTAAAAAGCGTACATTGTTTTACACTAGCTGTTGCTTGCGACTTCGTTCGCGTATAATTAAAAAAGCTATGTTACTCACTGATAACGTAGCTTTTTAATTGTGAAAGAATTTTTGTAATCGGTCCAGTAGTTTTTGAGTTATTCCAATACATACATCCAAAAATACAAATCTTTCTTCTGTTACATTAGTATAGATATTTAGTTGAGTTTGTTTTAATTTGAGTTAGCGCAAGTAAACTAACTAACTACTTAAAAAGCATGTATGAACTAAAATGTTTATGGTAAAATAAAATAACATTATAATAATAAGCACATACAATTTCAACTCTTACTTATTCTTATGTTATATTGAATGTAACTTTTAAAAAATGTAATTTTTATTTCACGGTAAATCAGTACTTGTACATTACTAGTACAATTTAAGTGGCAATACGTTCGTGAATGAAAAATCGCGTCACTTTTGTAAGTGCCATATTTTCTCTCCTCTTGAACTTTATATTGGAACGCAGGCGAGTTATTCCAGTCCTTTACGCTACAAAAACTACCAACCAACTTTGTATACGAGTAACAAGGGACGGATGGAAAACGAGTCTAGACGAGCTCAGGGTGACGGGAAACAGGGAGATTAAATCATATAACCTAAAGTGTTTACACAAATAACTCCTAATATTTCGTCTCAAAATCTTTTTCACTTTAAACAAGAATTTGTGTAATTCTAGTAAAAAATGATTAGTTTACTCGTGACTTTAATTTCTTTATTACCAAGTAAGGACAACAGAACAATGTATGGATCGATAAATCTTTCTAATATTATAAATGCGAAAGTTTGGATGGATGGATGTTTGTTGGAGTTAGTAGCCTAAACGGATCTCGATTATATTTTGGCATAGATGTAGAGGACAGTCTGGAAGATCACACAGGCTACTTACTTTTGTTTTTATTTAATTCTACGCGTACGGAGCCGCGGGCGAAAGCTGATTTTCTAATGAAATAACAAGGATTTGACATAAACAAATAGAAAAATTCTCAATAACCTTTTCTGTTATTTAATGCTTAATGTAAATATAGATCCCATATTCTCGTTTTGATTATGAACTATAAAATAAACACCATTTACCTTGTTTTTAAAATTAACTTTATAACCTAAAACAAAACCTTACGCTTTTAAATAATATGACTCTAGACGCTAAGACCTAAATGTAAAGCATTGAACTGAAGAAAAAATGCCAATTAGCATAAAAATTAATGAGCAGACATACTAACAGGTTAAAAATATTACGTAACAACAAACAACTGATTGAATCGTATACTAACGTATTTAGCACACTACCTAAAGCTAACTGAACCGAAGGAGATACGATTCTGATATTAACCTAGCTTGGATATAGCTTGCACCAGCGATCTATGGGCTTACATTAAAATAATGTGGAACAAACTGCGTTCCATTTTAGATCTGTTTTCATTTCGAGTTAGCTTGTAAAAAAGTTTACATAAAATTATATGCTCTTAATTGGAGAAATTGTTAGGGATGAAGTCTCACGTGGTCTATTTTATGTTATTCTTGTTTATGTCGTTTTCATTTAATAAAGGATTTGTAGAATATGGATGCTTTAAGTATTAATATTCAAACATATTAAGTTTATTAACATGTTTCATTAAAACCGGCAATATTCGAAAATTATATCTACTACAATATTTATTTTAAATTCATAATATTAATCTTTAAATATATGACTCGAAGTAATTTGTCGAAGTTTTTCTCTTAACAAAGCAAACTCTCGAGGAGTTCGAAAAGAAGCTTACAAATGATGTTTTCCTTCAATTTCAGGCATGTGATTATAACTTATAAGTACTTGCAAAATTGACTTTATATAAAAAATATTAACAACATTCTCCATTTAACAATGACAAACAACACTTCAAAAACAAACACGACTAACTTTTGTTAAATTTTCATTCGTAAGCGACTGAAGAAATAGACTTTGAAATGATGTCACATAACTTAAACAAATTCATATTTAACAAGACAGAAAAGAAAAGTTTATCACCACTGGTGGAAAAAGAAAAAAACAATAATCTTAACAATGTTCGAAACAATTATTTACATAGACTATTATTCGTTCTACATTAACTACCGTCTATACTAAACATCTAATTTTGTTACCATCTTGAACACTTAAAACAAAAGCATGCCAATTTATTAGTTTCACGTTAGGACGTCTTGTCGAGGCCAACCATTCCATTTAGCTCACTTCCACTTTGATAATGCTGAAGTTATACATTACTTACAATCATTATCAAATCGTAGTTTAATTAGAGGTGAATTTAAGTATAATTTCTCTCTACTTTACGCAAATTGTAATATACGAGTTATTGCCGTTGCGTAGACAATACTGCTCACGGTGCTGGACAGAATGGGTCGATGTCAGCAAATTCCAAATTCTCGCATAAGCCTTTTGACCCCCCAAAGCGTAGTAAAAATAGGCCGCGGTAAATATGGCGCCAAGGGCGCTGTTGAGGCTAAAACCGGTAATGAGCATTATGCGTAAATTATGTTGATACAATAAAGACCAGACTCCTGGATGAGGTTACTGTCATCTCTCTCTTTATCTGTATAAAAAAGAGACAGAAATCAAACTCAGTCTTTTAGCACAAGATTAGTATAAGAAATTTGAAATTACGAGACATTGACCATCAATTTAGTCTGAATATTGCAGTCAGCAATCTTCTGGAATTATTTAATTCCTTTAAGAAATAATTCACATCTTAAGTGTGTTACATATAGAGTTAAGATATAGAACGATAGTTTATCTCGTATTGATAAAGAGTATTATAAATTTTATCTCGCTATCAGCATTAAGAAGCGTGTATGCGAAGGATTTTTATAAGATTAGATCTAATTACGAAAATTTGTTTCATGTTTCTGTAATTTTTATTGCTTAGTTTTTGCGTCTTACATTTAGTAGAGTTCCGAATGTGTTGCCAGAATTAGAGCAAGATGTTCATAGAAACAATGATTGAATCACTGAATAACTGATTGATCGTGAGATCACGACAACTTGGTAATACGCTAATCAACTTCCTTGTTGTATTTTCATATATTTTATAGTGTGTAAATTAACTCCGAACTGGTTCTAAACTTCAGCTGAACTGCGACTCAACAATTAAACAGCTCACGGCTCAACGCAGTTTTCCGTAATTTTGGGAGCCGACGAGCCGCGAACTGCCCGGTCCTTCACCCAAGCGAACCATAACTGATCTGCTGGTCTTCAATTTTATTGAGTTATTCCTGACTACAGGAATCCGAGGAAATCTATTCATGGAGCAAAAGAGTGGCGCCCAATTATCAAGATTATGAATATTGATAAAAAGGGATTTAGATTTAACCTACACTTTTACAATACAACCAAGGTAAAAGCAACAGATTTTGAACATCTTTCTACATCTTTAGAGAAAAGAAATTAGTTATTGAGTTTTTCGAATGTTCTTATTAAATTCTAATTGGGACAAGTTGTGTCCCCCATTGATAGTTACATATGCATTTTCATCTACGATATAGATTAAAACCCATTACCTACCGCGTAACTTTTTACTTCTAATCATTTTATTAGAACCTTAAATAAACGATATCGTTAATATTTGAACGCTCCAATTTACAATATCGCATGTTCAAACAACGTCATCTTTG